CGTCGTTCTACCACTGTTGCTGAGAACTCTCTTTTATTTCAATAGTTTCAATATCCTTCTTACCTCAGTTGGTAGAGCGCACCACTGGAGCAGCCTAACAATTCTGACAAGGTCAATCGTTCAAGTCAGCTAGAAGGAATACTCAAATCGACTCTGAGCCTCAACTTTCTTTTTTATCTGATCTGCAGCGGGGGCGCTTGCTGTGGCGCATGTCGTGTTTAAAGGTAGGTAGGTTAACCAGCCGGGTTCAGCCATGTGAGTACAGTCAACTGTGTTGTAGTAAATAGATACTCCATGTACCTCAGGCTGGGAATCTGGGGGACTAATATTTTAATACTCATCAACATCTGGACTACTGCAGGGCAACAAGTTGCTCCTGAGGGCGCCCTCTATAATTTCCTTCCACAACTGGGCTCCGGCATAGAAGTCAGGTGAAAATCTCTCCATTTTGTACTCAATTTGTACTATATATGTGGGGGAGGCTCGCTGCGTAGCACTTGGTTCTTCCTTCCCTGGAGATCTTGGCTATGCTATGGTGGATTCTGCCCTCTGTTCAAGTGAGTCCTTACCTCAGTTGGTAGGGCGTGTCATGTCCCAGAGCAGCCTCCAATTCGGATGAGGTTGGCCGTTTGAGTCGGCTAGAAGGAATCATCAATGCTCTCGGTCTCATTTTTTTGTCTGACCTGCGGTGGCTCGCGTTGTGTCAGTATTCTTACTGTCTGGATCGGTTGGATTGAACTTTTGTCATGCTGGAATTGCAACTCACAAACACACTCATGAAGCACAAATGCCAAATACTCTACATTTACACTCATCAACTCAATATCAAGAATGTACCTTGTACCTCATTAGCTAAGAGCTTCAAGTTCTCGCTTCCAAATTAACAAACACATGTTTCAGTACGATGTCAATCAGCAGACCAGAACTCGCCTCAAATTTTATAGGATTGAATCAAGGATTGAATAGAAGCATATGTTGGAGAAACCTTACATTAATACCATTGATATGCTACATCCTTGATTTCGGACAACGAGACCCAAGATCCCTTAGCCTCTGTCACCGATGCTTGGCTTATTATAGCAATTTATCCCCTGCATTCCCAAGGCATATACACTTCACAAAGGATGAGGCAATGAGGAGTGGATTTGGACACGGTGTCAAAGTGCAAGTCAAAGTTAGAGTTGAATTTGAGTCTGAGGCGGGGAGAGGTGGAGTCAATAAACCTTTACTTGGTACCAGTAAACGCTTGGAGGTTGAAACTTCTTGCGGCAAGTTCTGTGCACTGCCACTATCATATATTCTCGCCAAACACATATCCATGTCCATGAGCCTAGGACGAATGCCAACATTGAGAAAAAAGTAAATCAGCCCCTGGATCTTGAAGCTTGAAGCTTGAAACATTGATGCAACAATGAACGGAATTTGAAGTTCTGTCTTTGTGAATTTCAACCACTGAAAGGTTCAAATAGGGGAATGGTGATTTGAGAAGGTGTGGCGGAGGTAAGACTAAGTACTAACAACAATACTCTGTCCTGAGTCTCATTGTTGGACCACCGAATAAGATCAACCAAACTCATCTGTGGGAACGCCATGAGTCGTTCCAGTGGATGGATGTGTCAAGTTAAGCGTGAGGCCTAGTGAGGCCTGAGGTTGATGTAGGGAAGTACGGGGGATTGGGGTAAGACAATTCATCTGAGATGCCACGCATAGGCCCGTTCTATAGATAATTTGTAGTGGTACACAGTTCAGTCACCCCTTTCAATGTCCCAACTTAGGGCCAATTTTTCGTCAAATGTTGACCCCCTGGGCAGGCAGTACTGGGCATTTACCGACCTTGGTACTACCAGATTGAATTTTTCAAATCTCTTTTCTGGAGCCCAGAGCCATCCCCTTCAACCCCTACCAGTCATCCCTTGCACTAGACTATGCATTGGGCATTGTTTGCCTGCTAAATAGGCTCACAGCCTGATCATTATCTGACTGCTACATGATGATTCCTGCTGCCAGATTGAATTTTTGTGATGCACTAGCAGACTGGTGTATAAACAGTAGGGTGTTATCGTAGTCGATGTTGGCAAGTATTTGGTGTACTTAATTGTGTGGTCTAGCTTCCAAGCGGAAGTAAAATCAGGTAATAAGGTCAAATAAGGTAATTTGTTCAATAAGGTCCTTTAAGTACCTTGAAGGTAGGTTAAGGTAGGTTAAGGTAGCTTCAATACATAAGGTAGCTGTAAGGTAGCGGAGTTTAAATAAGGTAAGGTAGGGAAGACTTCTTGATTCAATACCGCCACCAACACTGACTTTCTCACGGTTCGATTGAGCCAAAAAGTGAGCGTCGGGCCTCAGTAGGCCTCTGTATTTGAATAAGAAGCAATAAAAATCCTTCTTCATATCTAAAACTTAAAATTTGCCAACAGCAAAACAACGTAGCAGCACAGGCTAAAAATGGTCAGCGGTTCACAACCACGGTCAGGTGCAGATGATGGGCTCGACCTTGAGGCACGAGCAGTCGAGGAAAAGCTCATGAAGGAAGGCAAAGACTTCTTTCAGGCGTTTCCGAAGCGCCTGGTACAGATAGCTCGTGAATGGCAGATGGCTCAGACCGTCACTGCGGCCACCAGGAAGAAAGCTTGGGAGAAAGTAGAAATCATGGGCTTGCTCATGCAACAGCAGGTCTGGAAGAACAGCGTGGAACATCTAACAAAAGAACTGGCAGAAAAAATCACAGCACAAGTAGACAAGAGACTGGAGCCAGTCACGCAGGAGCTGAAGGCAACACGCGAAGCATTAGGGATGGCCGTTGAAAAAGTGGAAAGCATAACAAAAAGGACAGAAGATGGCGAGGATGGGGAAATAACCAACGCTGCACTTCCCCATCCCCAACAGTCATATGCTCGGGCATTGCAAGCTGGAAGTCTTGCCAAGGCCACAGCTGAGACACTGCAACGCCCTCAACACGCTGCTGCTATCCATGCAGGAGAGATGGCAGACCGACGATTCTTCATCAAGCCAACATCTTCTTCGGCAGACTGGACAACACTCTCAGAATCTGTTATCGCCCAGAAGGCCAACCTTGCCTTTGAAAGCATGATGAAAGATGAGGGGGAGGATGCTGATACAGTAAAGGTGGTTGCTGTCACCAAGCTCCGCAGCGGAGGAGCCTTTTGTGTAATGCGGAAGACTGACGAGCTGGCGTGGCTGGAGGATAAAGACCGGCAGGAATGGATCAGTAAAGCATGGGGTAATGAAGTGACCGTTGAGCTTCCCCAACACAATGTTGTAGCAGAATTTGTCCCTTTGTCAGCAGTATTAGAATCCCCATTTGCGCTATCAAGGATCGCGGAGGACAGTGGATTAGGCCCGCATTCCATCACATCAGCACAATGGATACGCAAGCCAGAGAGACGAAGCCCAGGCCAGAAAATGGGCTTCGCAATTTTCTCATTCAACAACAAACACATGGCAAACAAGGCAATACGGGATGGACTCACGGTTGAAAGCAAACTGGTCAATGTACGCCGCGATGAGAAGGATCCTCAGCGGTGCATGAAGTGCCAGCAGTTTGGTCACATTGCGCGTGAATGCGGCTCAACGCAGGATGTATGTGGACGATGCGGCAAGGACCATCCCACCCAAACCTGCTCTGCTAACGCCAATACTTTCTACTGTGCTGTCTGCAAAGCGAAAGGTCACATTGCAGCAGACCGTGACTGCCCAGCTCTTCTGCAGCAGATTCAGAGGCGAGCGCAGCGAGATCCAACCTGGGGATATTGTTTCTATGTCACCAATGATCCCGAAACATGGGTCCGTCGCAGTGACAAATCAGTGGAGAATGTCAACCAGAACTGGCGACTGGAGGTACAAAAGGGGTATGATCAAAACTGGAAAACAGTGCAGAGGGGCAAAGGTAAGGGTCGCTTGGCTGGAGGTCAGCCAGGGAATGGTGGCGGAACGGCGTCTCAACAATCACAACGTGGTCGTACACCAGCAAGGCAACCAGCTCCCACAGCCCCAAGGCAAGGAACGCTTGACACCTACATTTCGCGTTCACAGTCCAGGGTGAGGCCCAGTCAACTGAGCCAGCATAGGAGCAGAGGTGAGTGGGGGAATTCAAGTATGCCACCATGGAATAGACAGGCGCTACCTGGAGGCTCCCAATGTATAGGGACCCCAGCTGCTATACACACAAGACAGGATTACAGTGGCGCAGCTAAACACCAACAAATCCGACACCTGCATGCACGACTACCTACATGGAGACGCTGCAAACGCAGACTTCCTGATGATACAGGAACCATATATTGACTTTTTAGGTAGAACGCGGGTGCTCTCACATCTCCACCTAATTTATCCCTCGCAACACCGTGACCTATGGTCCACAATCCCAACCCGGTCCCTCATCATGGTCAACAAACGTCTCCCTACTAACGCCTGGACAGCTCTTGAAGTCAACCACCAAGACATCTCTGCAGTCCAACTAGTAGGACAGTTCGGGACCCTCCGCCTCTTTAACATCTATAATGATTGCAAAAATGACAGCACAATTGCCGCATTAGCACAATGGCTGCGCAGCCCAGCAGCACGCAACACCCCAAAAATGCCACTTTATTCAAGGCCTGTATTGACATCTTTGTCCCATACCTTGGCCCAATATATCGGGCCACATCCTCCCTCCACATCTATCCAGAGGACTGGTCCACAACAGAGACTATTGTCTTGAGGAAGCCAGGCAAGCCAGACTACCGCCAACCAGGAGCTCACCGTCCAATCACACTCTCGCATCACCACGGCCGTAACACAAACAGCTGCACGGTCGACGAGATATCATGTGAAGCCGAAATACGGGACCTACTGCCACAAATGCAGTTCGGAGCGAGACCCGGACGGGCAACTACAGACTCAATTCATCTAATGGTCGACCGAATCAAGCAACTCTGGCATGAAGGGTACGTAGTTTCTGCCTTGTTCATGGACGTGAAGGGCGCCTTTCCAAGTGTGGACCTCGACATGCTCTACCACGAGCTTCGAATGATAGGAGTACCGGTAGAGATCGTCGAATGGCTGAGACGACGATATGCTAGGCGCAAAACACGCGTGAGTTTTGACAATTTTATTTCAGAAATATTCAACGTACTGGGA